ACAAGGATCTACATACAACCTCCTACCTGGGGGATGGACAACAGAAAAGTGGGTGAAGGGAGATGTAGGAGAGTGTAAAATATGACAAAATAATGTTAATTTATAAATTATCAAGGGTTCATGAGGGAGGGGGGAGCTGAGAGGGAGGGGGAAATGAGGAGCTGATGCCAGGGGCTTAAATGGAGAGCAAATGTTTTGAGAATGATGAGGGTAACGAATGCACAAATGTCCTTTACACAATTGATGTATGTATGGATTGTGATGAGTTGAATGTGCCCACAATAAAATGATTAAAAATTTTTTAAAAATAGAGAATTCAAACATAAAGATTCTATTTTATTAAAAACGTAATGTGTTTAGATGGTATTTGTAGTACAAGAGACAGTAATTGTTTAACATTAATGAAATGCTAATGGATTCTACCAACTTTATAAAAATTAATAATATCAATTCGTTACGATTTCTCCTAGAAATGAGAAAAGAGAAAACATTTCATAACTCATTCTGCAAAGTTATCATTACACTAATATCAAAACCAGATGAAAATATAGCTAAATAAAAACACTGATCAAAAAAAAAAAAGAAAAACACTGTTCACCAACTTTCATGAGCATAAATGAAAAAATACCCAATAAAATATTAACAAATTGAATCCAACAATGTATGAAAGTAATTGTACACTACAACTAAGTAGAATTTAATCCAAAAATGAAAGACTGGTTCAAAAATGTTAAATCCGTTAATGAAATTTTGTACATCAACTAACTCAAGAAAACAATTATATAATCATATCGATGTAAACACAATTAGCATTGGATAAAATAAAAAACTATTACTTTTTTTTTCTATTACTTATATTTTAATTTCACCGAAACTTCCTGGCCTTGATAAATAACATCTATAAACCTTAACATCTAGAGCCATGCTCAATGGTGAAAACGTAAGACAATTTCCCAATTAGATTCAGAGCAAGGCAAGAATGTTCTCTTTTGCTAATCTTGGTAACATTGTACTGAATTCCTAACTAAAAAGTAGCAAAAATTTAAAAATAAATAGGTTTACATATTAGGAAGAAAGAAATAAAGGTCTGAACGGATTAGAAAGGAAAAATAGAGATACAAAAGACACAAACATAAAAAAAAAACTTTAAGCTGGAATGAATAAAAAGAGAAAGGGGACAGCATGCAAAATAAGTAGACCAGTGAATAGTTCTTATATGTCCACAAGGAATATAAACACCCCAAAAGTAAATGCCCCAATAGTAATCTAAGAAA